GGATACCCATCAATACTATCAATCAAATAAAGTAGAGAGAATAGAAACAACAGTCTAAAATGTTTCAATCAGGACCAATAGAGTATATCTGACAGCATGGCTCTAGACTGGGACCTACTGCCTTTCCTCAAAGGCTAAGGTAGGAAAAATAGCAGCAAGACCCCAGAGTAGAAAAAATAGATTCAGACAAAAGAAAAGAGGAACAGCAATGGAGGGGTAGGTTACAATGTGGCTTGAACCTTAAAACAGCAACTGCAAGCGGACTAAGGACACCTAAATATCGTTCCCAATGTGAAAATCACCCATTAAACTATATACAAACTGAAAGTGATTTGCCGAAATGTGGCAACTGGAAACCAGATCAAGTGAATGAACTTTAATTCAATTCAGTTTTTTAATATAGTGCCAAATTACAACAACATACAGTATTGTACAGTAAAGACCCTACAATAATAGAGAGAAATCCCCAAAATTAAACAACCACTTTTAAGCAAGCACTTGGTGACAGTTGAAAGGAAGAACTACCAGTAGGGAGGATGGCTGCTCCTCCCTCAGTAGCACCAGGCTCAGGGAGGAGCAGCCATCTCCTGTGATCAGCTGAATGTGAGGAAGACAGGATAAAAAACACACTGTGGAAGTGAGCCAACCATGAGTAAAATACCCGCTGGCAACCAGATATGGTTAGGATCTATGATAGATTGACAAGCAACTGAAGGGATTACCAGTGGGAGTAAAGAATACCTTTAATTATAAGATAAGATAAGGAACTTTATTGTCATTGTAGTTAGGGCTGTGCGATATGACCAAAATCTCATATCCCGATATAAGAATTCTATCATCCGATAACGATATAAATCACAAAAATGTAACATTTTCTGTAAATTCTGTGAATCTCGGGCAGCTCATCATGTAGCTGGAGTCGAGGGTTTTAACCGATGCATGAAACTATACATTTTTAGACATAAGTTGTAAAGGCCGCTGTATTCTTTGTGAATATTTATTATACAGGGTGCTGCGGGGAAAAGCCTGTTCTAACGTTTGAGTCTAAGGTTTATTTTTTAGCACCTGGCGGCTCTTTTTTACTTCTCATCCGTAAATAATCTGCTCTTTCACGTGATTCAGTTTATTTTGAAAAGTCTCAAAAGGATCTTGAGCTTTATTGTGAAAGGTTTATGTGGAACAAAAACACGCGATGCTGTTACCATATAAAAACAGGTGCTTGTCCGTCTGTAGTGTGGTTATATAAAATATAAGAGAAAGAGAGAACTTTAAGAAATTAATAGAGCCACTACAGTGACCATCAAAGCGATGAAAAAATATTGCCGTAAACAGTTTATTTTGCGACACCATGAAACAAATGATAGCCTAAAATGAAACGATAGACGTTTTCATATTGTCATCCGATATATATCGTTATATCGAACAGCCCTAATTGTAGTTATACAACAAAATTTGTTTGGTAGCTCACAGAGGCCAGCAGCAATAAAACAAGAAGCAGCATAGTAACATAAAAACCATAGTAAACGTAGTAAAAGTATAAAATATAAAGCATAATTGACATATGACCCGGTAGTAAGTACGTCAGAGTGTCACCTTCCTAACCAAAGCCCAAAATGTCACAAATCAACCAGCTGTCAGCCTCAAAGCAATGCATGATGAGCAATTCACTTCCAGTGTAGGCAGCTGTAGACACCACTGACTGTGTGCTGAGGTGGGTTTTGTGGCTTGCCTGAATTAACGCAATAATCTGTTTCTGAAGACATTTTCTGTTCACTTGTATGAAGTCAAAGTTAACGTTGTGCAACTTTGGTTCAACTTGTGCTCACATATGAAATCCATGCTGTGTTGAAAATAAACAGTAGACTTCACAATTGTCCACCACTAGCTACACTTGACCACTGATAAGAAAGCTCTATTGATTTCAAGCTGTTTTCTTGTAAGGAATTTAAAACCCAGCTGTCTCTTCACCATTTTTTCCAGATTAATAAAAATTGTGTTTTTGGTTAGGATGCAAGGTCAAGTGTCCAACAAGGTCTTATCTTAGTAAAATGATTTGACTGTTTTTAGAGTGAAGCCTTATTGGCTGCTAGCAGTATATCAAATAAAACCATTGCTGTGTATTTACTTGCACAAATACTCTGCGTATTTAAGTTTTCACCTTTGTTCGATCAAATCCATATTGAATTTTGAAGAATTTGCCCTTTACTTCAAATAAATTCAAAGAAAACCTTGAAGGGCTTTTTAGATTTATCTTGTTTGAAAAGATCCGACGCATTTCCACAATAGCCCACTGAAGAAACATTTTGAGCATAAAGAATAAAAAAGATTCGATTCAGGACTGTTTTTTGTTTGGAAGTGCATTACTTGCCCTACTAGTAGAGTTATTTATACGCTTAAAGACCCCTGTGGTTGTAGATCGTGTATGTGGGAGAACAAAACAAGGCAAAAAGTAAAACTTTAGATCCCAGAACAGAAAGTGCAGAGAAAACGAGCCCAACTTCACATTTTCTGGAACAGAGACACACATTTATTTCCTGGCTGACAATAAATTCCCAAATGCAAATTGGCAATCTGGGTGCATTACTTTGGAAAAGCAAAGTCTTTTTGGATGACTTAATAATTACATTCGCATTTATAAACCGATTTTTGCTCGTGATCGGTGTGCACATATCGGCTTGATGAAATATGTGTTAAAGAGTTACAGAGTTTAGAGATAGTGGAAATTTATTGGACACATTTTGCCAGATTCTCACAGAATCTTCTGATCTTACATGAAATGCAGCAAGAATCAGAAAGCATGTGTGCGAAACTGACTGCAAGAATCGGTGCTTGATATGAGTGACAAGGCTGATTATTTCATGTTTACCGACTCCTCATTACGTTTGTTTACTCTGATGAAGGCATGAGCTGAAATATTGAGTGCTGTTTTTCGCTGCTGTTTAAAACAAGGTTATTTAAAAAGAAAAAAATATACACAGTGGGTCATGTGCTCCTGCTGGATAAAATATAATACCAGCGACAAAAACATACTAAGGAGTGACTAATTAAAACAACACAATAAGACACTGAAAATAGTACCAGTGAAAACACCAAGGTTGTGTTGCTGTGTTTACATGTTTCTGTAGAAACTAAGAAGTGACAACCCTCAAGACTGAACTCTGTTTCTATGTAGTATTATTATTCAAACACAGGCTCACTGTAGCTCATGCATAGTATTAACTCTCTAAATTTAATCAAAATTAGCCTGAAGGTAAAAATAAAACATACACCAGCTTCAGTTCTCCTTCCCTGTCTTCACATCTGCTGCTTTTAAGAAAACACATTAAGCAATTGTATAAAGTGATTAATGTAGCCTCCATATGTGATATGTACAGTGGCATATTTTTTTCTGTACACAACCTCTGTACACAACCACAATGGGCTTGAAATGAGGCAATCAAAATGTGACCAGCTATAATTCAAGGGGTTTGAATAATGGGTTATCTATTTGGAAAATACAGACACTTTCCCCTGATTTTTACAATCTCAAAAGACAGTCGTGGTCAGGTGTCCGGGGATTCTTTGCCATTTCCTAAATAGATTAAGGAAACAAAAAGTCAGGAGTTGACTTCCAAGTGCTGAATTTGCATTAGCTGCTCACGGGATCTTTCAGTATGTGGCCCCGAGTGACGTTAAAGGGCATCATTACAGTTAAAAAATAAAAATATAAAATGAACAGTAGCACCACAAAGGCCTTGAAGAGTTCAGAAAGAAACCTGAAAATACATAGTTGCGGAATTATTTTTGTGGTAAGGAAAAGAAAAAGCCTTCACCATATCTAGCCAGTCTAATGCTCGCCAGGAGTTATGACTGCTCAAGTCTACAATCAAGATGGCTTCAGGAGTGTAAAGCTGAGGGCAATGCTTCAAGATGCACTAAGATTAGAAAGCTTGCTCAGTTTGAGACCAAGAATAATTGCACACAAAATTTCTTTAAGCTGCTAAGCATGATTGTGCAGTGGTGGTTAGCACCATCGCCTCACAGCAAGAGGGTCCAGCGTTTGAATCTACTAGTGCATGTTCTGCCTGTGCTTGCATGGGTTCTGCTCAGGTACTCCTCCCCAAGTCTAAAGACATGCATGTTAGGTTAAATAGTGATTCTAAGTTAGTTCTCTCTGTGTTATCCCTGCGATAGAAAAACCTGCCCAAGGTCTGTTTTCACCCCATGACAGCGGGTGTAGGCTGCAGCCCCCCTGGAACCCTGAATTGGATAACCAGAAAAAGATGGATGGATTCCCTCAAACTAGGCCTTGTGAATGAAATTAATCACAGATTAACTGATGGTTATTAGGCAAAATAATAATAGTAATAACAATAATAATAATAATAATAAATTTAAAAATGGCTCTTTATTGCACACCACAACATTAGTTAAACCCAGTGGAAAGTGTTTTTAAATCCGAAATGCTAAATGGCCTAAAGCTGAAATTCCTCATTGTCAATTAAATCTCATTTATTTTAAACCCATTGAAGTGGAGGTTTTAAAACAGATGTATTCAGATAACTGTTCATATACAGTATCTGATCCGAATAGATTTCCAATGTTACTTCAGTATCAATTACTGAGAAATGATAAGTCTCTGAGCTTTCAATAAAATGGCCTTTAAATATTTCGTATATTGTAAAGGCAAGAGCCTGTTGTTTCTGACATGCAGGTTCAACAAGCCAAACTAGCGCTAATCTGTCTGTTCGTTTGATAAAGTGCAGCAGACAGCCCGGGCTAACGAAACGAGGAGCCGTTGGCTAAAAAGCTAAATAAATAAACTATGACTCTACTTCCAAACGGGTTAGACTTCTGAGGGTTCTAGTATGTAAATGCATGACATTAAATAAATAGCGTTTCAAATTACCTTTACAGAGATTATTTTGCCCCCCGTTGAACCGCCCAACACTTCACTATCCGGGATATCCAAGGCTACATAAGCATGCGCACCTCGGCGCACGTCATGGGTGTGACGTCAACGCGCTCCAATTCAAACTTCAGGAAACGAAAGTGTCGTTTTAAAACGGTCTCGCCACAAAACAGACGATATTTAGTGGATAATTTCCGACTCCGTGTTCTCTTTGTAAGTATTAAATATTTTCTTTGGTTGTGTGTGCATGCCTATAGCGTTTGTTTTCAACACTACATGTACGACAGAAAAAATAATATTACGTTAATTTGTGTTTGCTAGCTACCATTGACATGCGCACGAGAATTGGTAGTGTAATCAGCTGTCATGTTTTTATTGTATTTTTCTCTTGTTTAATTAGCATGAAAGGATTTTCTTTTCCTGGCACTATGTAAGGTAAATGTGAGGAATTACACCTATTTCAATAAATGAAATTTGGGGGAAAAAATGTAGGAAATTTTGATGTTCATTGAAAGCACGACGGGTGTGTCGATTTTGACTCAATTTGCTTTTGTAAAATGTATTATTAATAGTCAGTTCCACGTCTGTCTCTGTTTTTCATTTCGCTGTGTTCTTAGCTGAGGGTGTGTTTTGAGCTGCTCTTCACTTGGAGTGCTTGCATGAAATTCTTTGATTGAAATTAAACTGCATACCTTCTGGTGGATTCAACACCAGTACAGTCACTTTACTTTTCTTCCCAGAGCACTGCACTTAGTAACAACAGAAGCAGCCATGACATCTAAAAGTGCCAAAGAGACCATAGTTGCCAAGTTGGGTTTCAAATCCAGCAGCTCTGGCTCCAAGGCTGAGGCAGAGCTGGAAAAAGTCAAGAAAGAAAATGTTCACCTGAGAAAAAAGATTGATGACCTGGCCAAACGGCACATCAAACCGCCTGATGCGGACAAAAGCAAGCTGCTGGAGGTAAAAAGGAAATCTTGGCTTTCTCAGTAACATTAAGCACCTGTAGCACTTCCTTGTTTTTTATAGATAGATAGATAGATAGATAGATAGATAGATAGATAGATATATATTATGTGTGTGTATAATATTGGTTGTTTCAGAGGATTCTTTCCCTTGAGACCTTGAGAGAGAGGAACAACCAGCAGTTGCTGGTGAAAGAGCAGGAGCTGGAAACTCTGAGACAGCAGCTGTCAGCTAAAGGAGGAGAGGTACACACAACACCTCTCTACAGAAATACACAGTTAAAAATCACATATACAGTCGACTCTTATAGCTCTATCCATCAAGAAGTCCTCTGTGAACGTGGTCAGATAGTTGGACACTTTTCTGCTCAGAGTGACAAGATAGACTTGCAGCTGTATCTTTGAAAGTACTCGACTTTTCAAGATATGTTGCATTCGTGGCATTGTATTGGTGGCATATGTATTGCTAGCAGCAGACAACTGTCAAAAAGAGAGAGGAAAAAAACTGTACTAGAATTCCAGTAAGCTGCCACAAAAACAGTTGGGGGGAAATGGCTTCTATCTCATCTTGACAGCAGCTCAGCAAAGTGAAGTTTTGACGACTAACAGAAACGGCATACTAACACATGGTGTTATGAGCTGTTCACTTGACTCATAAGCTATCTGTCTGCAGTGGGTCTTTTTGCGTGGATTAACATTCAAAACAAGTTACTGCTATGCTGTAGACTTTGCTCTTGTCTATTTTTGAAGTTTTGTTGGAGTTTAATTTGGGCTAGCTGGAAACATGGAAACGACACACTCTGACAAATAGAATATCAATATTTTATGTAACCCAGACATTAATCACATTTGCCTTGCGGTTGTTAACCTTCATTAAGAAATGCACCAATAAAAGAAAGAAAGAAATTGGAGCTGCTGTGTGGATCAGCCAGCTGTGCTATGTCAGTTGTGTGAAGGGGATAATTGCCTGGAAAACACAAACCATCCCTGCTTGAAGAGAATTGTGTTGTTTTGGCTACAGGTTGTTTTGGAGGCTAGTCAAGTTGTTGTTTGCTTCGTGTTGTTTTGTGTGCATTTCAGGTGGTGGCGTCGCTGCAAGCCCAGCTGGAGCAGCGGAGGAAAGAAGCAGAGCAGAGAGACACGTTGTTCCAGAGTTTGTCACAGGAGACGGAGAATCTGAAAAACAAGCTGGTCACTGTTTCTGCCCGATGTCAGACTCTGGAAACTCAGGTGGCGGTAGGTTGATATTATAACCTCTGATTTTATTAGCCAGGGTCAGTGTCTCCTTTTACAAACAGCCAGTTGCCTTACTAATCTGTACTCTACTCTAGTTGTTTTTTTAATCTATTACTACAGTGGTATTTGTTTTATTACACTGATAAGTGCATACCACTGTCACCTAAGGTAAGTCTTTGCAATGCTCAGAGAAACTGTTAAAAAAAACCACAATTTAGTTTTGCAAAATTAGATCTGAGCAAATAACAAGACTTTGGAGGGACAAGACCAAATGCACAGCGCCACATTTGGTGAAAACCAAACGTATCAGCACCAACTCCTCGTATCAGCTGTCAAGCATGGTGATAGAGGAGTGATGATTTGGGCTTGTTTTGTAGTCACAGAGCCTGGGCGCTTTGCACTGATCGAATTGACCATCTGTCTGACAGTTAAAGCTTGGCCTAAATCTGCAACAGAATAGCTAAGAAAGAAAGGAATCAGTGTGTTGAAATCACATAAAGTTCAGATACAATGATGTAAGAGACTGATAAAGTTATGCAGAAAGCAATTACTTCAATCTTTTGCTGTTAAATGTGGTTTTACAAGCTACTCAATCGCAAGTTCTATTCAGTTTTTCCCACACAGTGTTTCTACAGTTTGGCTTCCTTTTTGTTAAAAAAAAATACACGGTGTAAATCACATCTTGTTTTTTTTTTTTTATCTGAGGCTTTTTAAAAATGTAGAACTTGACAAGAACCTGACTTTTTTTTAATTGTCTTAATTTGTAAAACCCAACATGCACTTTCTTTTTTACCGTGACTGCATTTATGAGTACGCCTGGGCTAGCACAAATCATTTTATTTGAGTGTGAAGAAAAAGAGAAAAACTTGAGGAAAAAGTCGCACCCTCTTTTTGGCAGAAATCGCAAAGGAACAGAGTTGCTTGAGTAGTTATATCCCTTCCTCTGACAGCAAATTTTCCCCCTGGTCTCGGATTAAATCCTGCAACAGCTTTCTGTCCTCTGCCTCCCATTCTAATATCCTCCTCTGATTTATTTTTTCCCTTCTTCTGTATCTATAGTGCTGATGCAGTAGAGCTATTTCTTTTGTTTTGTAACAATCTGGTCAAATTAAATTCAGCTTTATCTGTTGCTTGACTTGTGTTACAAAACTGGAGGCTGACTAAAAGTAAAATATGTGTAATATTTGCTCATGATAAGGCTTTTGTTTTGATCTGAGGTTGATGCACCTTAGACTTTCATTTTCATTTTTTTCCCTCACATTTCACCAGGAGCTTTTTCTCTTCTTTTATTTATTTATTTTTCTTCAATAACTACTTCATGAGATGAAGTTTGTTTGAAAATCCAAGTGCAGCTGTTTATTTGTCCATTAGGTGGCACTGTGTGACCTCCAATTATATTCCTCATCATCTGACATTAGCTGCAGCAGATTTAATAATTTGTTTTAATGAAAGTCTCACATTACACGTTGCTTATAATGAAAATGTTTTTCCCTTCTTTGCCAACTATTAACACCCCTGGTAGCATCACAGCCGTTACAATAGTGTCATGAAAGACAAAATAGCATCTTTGTTCAAATAGCACTTTGACTAAAGCATCAAATGATTCATATTCAGCAGTGTGAGAGCCTTCAGTGGGTCTGCAGGTGCCACTTCCCTTGTCACTGTAGGCTCTTAAATGTAGCCCTTTGATGCTTTGAGTGCAGCTGGTCCTGCTGCCCATCAGGATTCCTCTTGGCTTCTGAAGAGGCTTTGGTGGCAAAAATCACAAGTAGGGACTTGAGGAAGACTCAGTCATGTCATACCTCCCTTTATGGACAAAAGTACCTTTCTAGAGATGGGGGTGCTGAAGCCCTGCTCCTAGTACTACAAATGTAAAAATCAATTCAGCCTGTGTTTTAAATGGAGTTCACCCGCAGTATATTTTATCAAACTCCTGCCGTTTTAATCATAATCCGTTACACACACACACACACACACACACACACACACACAGAAAACATTATTCAGTGATGTACAAAACAGCACTATCACAAAATTTATTTTTTTATCTCCTTGCTCTCCATTGTGGGTCAAATATTACTCAAAATCAAAAGTAGTTTTCTGTTTCTTTTTTTACAAGAAGCCCAGAGATTTCTTATTTATTTCTTCTTCTTTTTTCCTTTTTTGTTACTCATGAAGGTCGCAAGAAGAGTTGTAATGCTGGTTGAATGTAAATGCTCTTAGATTGTTTTTATACTGTTTCAAGTCTAACTTGAGTCCAAGGCTGGAAAGCATTACAGTGCAATACTTGAGTTACTTGATATGTGGGAGGAGTAGTTGGTACTTGTTGCCTTTGTAGTCTTTTCATGCAGAGCTTTATGGGTTTTTTGGGTTTTTTTTTTTTTTTTAATCTTATGTCTTAATATCTTCAAGGTTATGTTTTTGTTTTGTTTTTTTACAGCAATACTCTCCACTTCATTTAGCAGGTTTTAAATTACTACATATAATCTGACCACGCCACCTATTTCTCTTCTTCTTGAATTTGGAAAAGCTGTTAGTGGGCATAGTTTATGGGCTGCACATTCAAATCCATCACGTTCCTCACAGAGCTTTAGCACAGAGATGATCATTTAGATGCATACTTCAACATCTCTGTGAAGGTTTTATAGGATCTGCTGGTGGGATCGGCCATGTAGGCATCAGAGTTAGGGTGACAGAATTGGGAGATGACTGTGTCTCTAGCGATGAATAGAATTTGCACCAGATTTGATAGCCTCGTCTCTCATCGTCTATTAAAACCAGTGCTTGTGCTGATAACTATCGATAGTGTTTTTCTTTTCATTCTCATTTAGAAGATGGAAAAACCTAAACCCGCTACACCTTTGTTGTCTCAACCATGTATAACCTGAAGTTTTTAGTGTGTGAGTATTTGCCCTTGAAGCTGGATAAACTGAATAACACAAATGCAGCACATACAACTCAGCTGACCTGCAGTACTATAAAACCAGAGGACAGACAAACAAGCTACAATCATCACGTGATTTGGTTCTTGTATTGCTGGAGGAATGACAGGGTCTCTTTGTTTTCTGAGAGCTTTGGCTGCCTTGAATTGAGCCCCTTTTTTAAAAAAAATAATTTAAAAATTATAATTTTAAAATACAGTTATAGTAAAAGGAAGGCACAGGTGCAGACAGCAGCTCCACAGCTCGGATGCATATTGGATAGACCTTTTATCATTAGGATTTGCTAATACAAATGAAACCCAATCTTTTCTTAATGAAAGTATTAACATTTTTATGATGGCTAGATCAGATGTAAGTGTTGATGCCAACTCGAGTGAACCTAAAGACGTTTTCTCTTTTCAGAATGAACAGGCACCTGCTGCAGACCTCGTAATGATACAAGATCAACTGAAAGATGTGAGTCCAGCAAGATGATGTTCACCTATTTGTAACCGTATCATGTGTATCCTGCTACCGAATGATGTGCTCATGAATTTGAGCAGCTGAAAAGTTCACATATAGTGTATAGGATGCAGTTTGTCATTGTAGGCTGTGCCTCTCTCCCTACCAGGCTCTGGAGAAGAACCAGCAGTGGCTGGTGTACGACCAGCAGAGAGAGGCCTATGTGCAGTCTGTCCTGGCCCGTACTTTAGAGCTGGAGCAGCAGCTGGCTCAGGCAAAGCAGCAACAAACCAAACAAGAGGCCAGTCCAGAGGGTAGGAAGTGTGGGGGGGAACTGAATTGGCTTTGCTCACTTTTCCTTTATTATTCACAACAATCATAGAGTAAATGGAAAACTTTCTTTTGGCCTAACAAGCAGCTTTTTTTGAGACACATGTGGCATGGAAAGTGAAAGGGGCAAGCCAGGAAAATGAATGTACTTTTTGTTTTTTAAGTTAAATAAAATGCAGCAACAGGCTTTGAATTAGAAAATGATTTAATGGGTAATAATGTCAGAATAAAAATGTGTTCAAATCCAGTAGCGGTCAGGATTGAGCTTTCCATACAGCTTTCACAAAGATAATCCTAACATTTTCACTGCAAATAATGTTTCTTCATTTGCTTACTAACACTTCTTGTCTCCGCTCCTGCCAACTTGGCAGATCCAGAAAAGGAATCTCAGCTGAAAAGCCAAAATGACCACTTGGTGTCTGGGATGCAGAAAGACCTGGAGAGCCAAAAAGAGCAGGTTACCAGAGCCAGACAGGAGCTTGGTGTCCATCGGGAGCAGGTAAATGCCAAACAGATTTCATGTAATCACCATTTACTCATTTTGATTAACAACTTTGCCAGCTTGCTCCCCTTTCTTTATATATTCTCCATGTTGTGGCTTGTGCTGCTCATGCTGATAATACTTTCAGTATCTATCAAACAATGTGCAAATTCACTGAAATTCACATCTATTTAAAAGAAAGCAACTGGGCTAGTTTCACTAAGCATTTCTTGAATTCAGATGTCTTTGTAATTGAGCTAAAGCGTTCCTTTAAAGAACGAATATATAAAATATCCTACAATTTGGCTTGTCTGCACCTGGTAGGCCTTGAAAGCTCAGGCTGAGCTGCACTCTCAGCGGGAGCAGGTCACCAGGGTTCAGGAGGAGATGTTGGCACTGCAGAGGAAGTATGACGACAAGTGCAGCGAGCTGTCGTCCTTACTGAGGAAGTACAAAGACAAGTGCAAAGAGCTGGAGGAGGCCAAGATGGATCTTCAGGCAGAGCGACTTAGCAACAGGTAAAGAAAGTCCTAGCACCTAACTAAAGCGGATGTGGCCAAACTAAAAGTTAAATGGGACACTTCCTTTGAATAAACAGTTGGTTGGTTTATTTATGGATTCCAACTGGCTTAGCAACTTATGCAAAGTACTTTACAAGCCCAGGTTCTTGAATACAGAGGGGTGACACTGAAGAGCCCTTAAGAATCCACACATAGTGACTGTTAATGGCTTTAACTGCTGCTAAGTACTACAAATATGAATATGGTTGATACTTTTATGGAATAAATAAACCATTCATCCAGACATGCAGTCTGTGAGGAGAGAAAGGTGTCGTCTGAGCGTGCAGACAGAATGAGGGTGGAACTGGAGAATATGGATATCAGATTGGAGGAGGAGAAGAAGAGATCTGCTGAGCTTCTGTTGCAGGTGAGATTCCCATTCAGTGACTTGTCTCCTTTAGTCAGTATTCAGTAATATTTACTTATTTATCAAAGTTTTTCTTTCAAAACATTTGTAATGCATAAAAAAAGTCTGCATTTATAGGGTTGCATATAAAATGGAAAGACCTCATCCATTAGCAATTATATTTAATAAGTAAAGTGCAAGAGCACAATAGATGTACCAGCATATTTAAATAAAATACAGCTCCAGGGTTATCTGAAAAGAAAAGCACTGAATGATAGCATGTGTGTTACTCTTTAATGGTGCTATACAAGTGTGTTTGCCTTGCCTTGATCATGTGCTTCACAGGTAAATATGCTGCAGAAGTCCGTCCTGAGCCAGAAGGAAGAGCAGAGAAGAATCGCAGCACTGGAGCAACAGGTAACACTCTGCGTTTACATGTTACCCAAATTGTTCCTATTAATAGAAATCTTTGTTTTGTAATTGAGTGGTTGGATTTATTAAAACAAATATATAATCACTAGGAACTGTGAGAAGTCAAAAAAACTGAGATCAGTAATTACTGATTGCACAACCTTAATGTTCACCACCCACTTATGAGTGGAAATTCTGTCAGCACGGCCCTTCTGGGTAGTATGTGATGTGGAGTTGTAACAGTTTTGAGCTGTGTTTTTTAAGAGTTGCAATCCAAACCGTTCCCACTTGTCTCTACTTCCCGTTTATTTCTGCCCCTCCTAAGATCCAACTCTCTGCCAAGGACTTTGAGAATGAAAAAATTGATCGTCAGAGCATGCAGCACCAGTTACATAAGGTGCTGAAGGAACTTCGCAAGGCCCGTGATCAGATTGCAAAGCTGGAATCTGCTGTAAGTGTTAGACTTTAATAATGGGGAAGAAATGTGATGGCTCTTGTTGAACACTGGCATGCAAGACTTCAGGCCCATTTTTGTATCCAATTAAAGCACCAGGGCTTCTGCTAAATGAATGTATTGTCATGTTTTGTGTTTCAGAAGCAGCCAAATGCTCGCTTTTCAGAGCCCAGCTCGTATAATAGCCTCGAGTTTGAGCGTCTCACTATTGAAAACCCTCTTGGCCCTACATCCCCATCTAAAGTCACCAACCTCCTGGACGAGAGTTTCCTGGAGTGCCCAAAGTGTCGGGCCCCTTATCCCACCAGTCGTCACAGGGAGCTGCTGACTCACATCGATTACTGCTTTGCGTAAGCTAACACATCAGCATAGATGAGTGATTTTCAGTGTGCATGTCCGGACCTCCGCTTACTCAAAGGGGTAAAAACAAACACAAGATCACTCTACAAGATTTCTGATTCATTCAGGAAATTTGTGTTTTTGAATCTAGGTAAAATAAAACAATGAACAGGCAGTTTTAGACACTGACTCTACAAACATAGCACTGATAACAGAGTATAAGATATTTCTTGAAGTCACTGGAGACCACTTGCATTCAATCCTGTTCTTTTATCGCAAAGTTAGAAATACCGCCTTCCTTAATGATCATTTAACATAAATGTATAAAATATTCATTTATGTAAGAAATCATGGGACATATTGTGCATTATTTTCCAAGAATGATGGGGTCTACGGTGTCCATTAAAAA